AGCAGACTCGATTAATTGATTAATCGAGTTTGCTTCAATGTGTGCTTATTAGCACAGGTCAAAGCAGGTGTCTGGCATATGTCTATGTGCCCAAGAAGTCCAGTTCTGCATACCAAAGCTCTCAGAGCCTCTGGCACCCACTGCTCCATCCCCTTGATCTGGACCGCCTCATCATTGTTGTCTCCTCAGCAATTATTCTACCTGTGTCATTGAGCAACTTTGCCATTAGAAACAATCCTCTTAGTACTGACTGCTGGACTGGGGATATCTTTTCCAGTCTAGCACTATTCCTGGCACTGATTTCAGAGTTAGTTTTTCCATCCCTGCTGGCCTGATCCCATCACTACTGTTGATCAAACTTAACTCCTCAAAATGCTGCGCTGGTACTGTCTCCCAGTGTGATTCTGCACTACCCCCTGTGCTGTCTCCTTGTCTGGAATGCTGTTTGAAGTCTCCATCCTGTGTTTTGAGCACATTTGTAGGTACCATAACCCTTGGCTCAGTGACCTCAGAGTTCATATCTGCCTTATCCAATACAGCCCTTCTGGTTATGAGGATATCAGTCTCTCCTTCAATACAATGAATGATATGGATACCTGTTTTCCCATCTTCCACCCACATTCCTAGCAGTCATCTGCTGGCCTGCTCCACAGTTCAAGACCAGTCCCTGAACCAGTCAAGACAGGGAGGTCCTCAGGAGATATCCCCTCTGGGTACTACCCTCCTCCATCATATCCCCTTCTATCAGAGGATTCTAAAGCTTCCAGAGTGTCATGTAGCCCCTTCCTCAGGCTTTCTAGTTTTCATCAGAGGCGGTCTCTGAACTCTCCAGTAACTTAAAGGGCATTTATAGCAACCCAGTCCATTGAAGTTTGCCAAAAAATGAAGCCATGAACCCTGCCAGGAGAGTCTAGCAAGCCTCTGCGTCCGGACTCTTGATGGAAAAGTGGATAAGAGGTACCATGCCACTTATGAGAATTAAATATTTCTATTCCTACCCTGTTACCTCCTCACCTGGGATTTCAGTTGCCAGTGAAAAGGCCAGGCAACGTGGGTTGGCTCCAAAAGACAAGTACCAAATCCGATTTATTCTGCCAGTCTATAGTTCCATACCATGAACCATTAGTTGCTCCTTGGTCAATACAATTTCCAAGTTTACAAGTGTCCTGCTGAGTTGGCATAATCTCTTCCTGAGAAGGAAAAAGAAAAGGCTCTGCTCATCCCAGTTTCTGAAGGATAGCTGGTAGTTAAAACAACCCTGCAAGCATCTTTGGGTGTAGCTTACACTGCCTCTCAATCATTAGTGATGGCTGTCATCATGGCCCTATTTTTTTTGGCTTCAAAGATCCAGTTTATTGAAGATCTAGGCTGCAGTAGAGGACCTCCTTTTCAATTATGATAATGGCTGCATCAGTCAACGTGCTTCTCCATATGCAGGACAAGAACCTCTACAAGACAGGCTACAGCTGCACTGGGCCATGTGCAGTTATGCCCAGGGACACTAGAGTGAAGAGGAAACTTAACTGCTCACTGCCTTCCTGCATGATGAAGGGTTGGGGTGGTGGTGCGCACTCTGGAGACTGCTAAGGCAAAATAAGTCTCTGGTCAAAACTCATGGATATGCTTATCTGCACACTCACAGAGAGGATGTGCATATGGACAATGACTTGAAAGGCTCCAGTTACCGGTAAGTAACATTTCTTCTTGCATTAACATGAAGAAAACCCTTTGCCTTTGTTTCATACTGATAAGATGTCAGTCAAGCAGCTCCAACAAAAAATGTGTTGTAGACTATGATTGTTGCACTTAGAAAGCAGATTTTTAAACCTAGTGCTCTGAGAATTGACTCAACATTCAGTTGACGAATAGCGGAAAGGCCTGTTTTAATAACTTCCAACAAGCTACAAAACTAAATAACAGAAAAAGACTCTTTTCCAATATAAAACAAGCTATTAGTCCTTAGTATTATCTTAGCTGCACAGAGATCTTTACCCAATGCAGGCAGGAAGCATTTCTTGTACAGCCTCAAAGCATGGATCCTTCACTTGTTGGCTGGGTGGCAGGATGGCTTGGTCTGGACTGCACACACCTTGCTGGCAAATCTGCTTAGTTTTTATACTGTTTAATTGCATAGCTTCAAAGCATTTTTCCTTGATGGTTGGCTGATTAGAGTCCAAACAAACAGGGAGGAAAAGGTTGATCATAACGCAACTGTTAATTGCCTGGCTCCTGTTCTGGATTTGGCTAGGTGTGAAGACGGTGTTTTTTCTGCAGCCCCTGCAATTATAGGTCAATTTACAGGTGATGGGCCTTGAGTGGAAAGACAGGATACTTAGAGGTGTCACCAAACCTGTTTTGGGGTATTTGTATATCAATGGGTCACATTCGCAGTAGCTTGTACAGGTGATGGTCTGTTTATCAAACTCCAGACATGCATTGAATGGTTCAGACATGTTAACACCTTGTACATTGGATGCTTGTTGGGAGATATGTGAGGAGAGTGTGTTTGTCACATAGAGGGCATCTTTCCTGTATCTTTTACAAGTTTCTCTTGACATGCATATTTAGTGTTTTGGGTTTTTTCCACTGCTAGGTCAATTGAAATGTAAATGTAGTTACCTTGCCTTCACTGGCTCAGTCTTTTCTTGCTTTCTTAGGGACACACATGTGATGAGTGGGTCAGGTCTCTGCCAACAATTTTAATCACTTTTATTATTTTATAGCATGGGTCTGGTATTGGGTACCACAAGTACTCCACTGTCTCAACGCCTAATGGGTTGCAAGCCATTAGCAGAGTTTGATTTTCTTGTGGCAGTCTTGTTACCACAATCCAGTCTTGCCCCAGCCATTGTCTTGTACACTGTCCAAGCTTTCACAGTTTTTATATGCAGCAATGATTAAACCTTGGATGCAGGGCTCCATGCACGTACAGGGATCGGCTACATGCACATACAGGGATCAGAGAGACTGAGAAATCAGTTGTTTTCATTCTCTTATGTAACCACATGGTTTTTAGTGGGTGTGTCTACACGTGCTTCTATGGTGCCATTGTTACTGTGCTGTCATTTAGTACTAGCAGCGCACGGTTATTTTTAGCTACTATGTCACCGTAGGAATGCGCTATAGAGAGAGAGCATGATGCCACGGCGAAGTAGCTATGGTGTCACTGTTTTTGCCCGCAGACACTGCATCGGTATAGCAAGTTGCTACAGCGGTGTAGCATCTCATGTAGACACATCCAGTCACAACCTAACCAAGAAAAAGAGGCAATACCTTTGGGCAAACCTGTTTATGGGACGTGCAGTTGCTAGAAAAGTCTGTACACTGTTTTTGAAAAATATACAGTGTATGTGTTTTTCTACTATAGTATCAGGGTGAGAGGGAGTTGGTATAAGTCAAAGTGAAGGTCTGCGTGGTCTCCAAGGAAATACTTTTCTCCAGGAACTTTCTTTTTTTATATATATGGGACAATTTCATACTGCTTACAAGTAAAAACTTCCCTATCCTAAGGACTTTTATAAGCAACCAGTGATAAATTCCCTCTAACAGGGATGATCTAGCAATATCCAGATAGGTTAACTCCCCGAAACATAAGGAATAGTTATAACTTCTCTTTCAGAGAGATGGCAGAATGTTAACTAGGAGCTCCCACAAGCACCTTAAGCTCCCTCCATGACATCATTGTTTCAGGGCCTGATCATTCAGGAAAAGAGTAGTCATGTAAATAGTATCATAAAGAACCGATATATATGGATAGTGCTAACTAGCAGTGAGAGAATCTGGTAGTTTTGTATGACATGCTACAGAGCTTTTGATAAGCAGAAACCATTGCTCCCTTAGGAGACAATGTCAGCTGGAAGCAAAAAGCCAAGAATACTTTCCTGTTATCTCAGGATAACAAAGAAGCAGAGTGCCATTGCACACTCTATGCTTATTATCACTGGAGAGGAGAAGACTTTACAATCAGTCACAAATGGAAATGATGAATGATAAACTCTTGACACGCATAACATACATAGAAATTAAAAGATATGATCTGCTGATGAAGGTCTTGATTCAGCATGCCCTACACACTCAGAACTCCTATGGAGCGATTTTTAGTAGATGGTAAATGGAGAACCTAATCTATCAGACACAAAAATGAATTCATGAAAAATATTTTCATTCATAGTGAAGTAGATACATAGAACAGGTTATTTCTGAGAATTAGATGTTTTGCACAAAAAACAGGTTGACAGATATGCGTACAAATCTTCAATCAAATCCAAAAAGAGACGAATCAAAACTTTACATGTGAGGTAGGGAGCACCAGCAGAAGCATAGGTAGAACTAAGTGGCTAATCCTACCTGTGTAGGTTTCTTCTGTAATGAAATCATTTTTATATTAAAAATATATCTGAGGTTGTCATTGATAGGTATGAAGCACTGTTCTCATCTAAGATCTTGTATTATCTGCTTTTATAATGTTCCTCACTGAACCAGATTTTGGTCGGTTTTTTTTACTTTCATCATAATTTCCATAATAATGTCAAACCCAATCTCAATATACATTTAAACAGAGTATCCCTTTTCCTTGTAAAGATAGTTTTAAAAAAAAAATCAGGTGAGAAGTGTGATTTGACCAGCCTAAAAAGACTACCTAAACATATGCAATGTGGGTTTCAGCAGAGTTAATGGGTAAGGTCATCTGACACCTGTTGCCCAAATATAATTCGTTTTTCTATTTGGTTTTTATCAGTAGTCTCAGATCCAGAGACTACAGGTTAGCATGAGAAGGACAGGTAAAATGCTCACACACATGGAAGATCATAATCAGATCTGCAAATCAACTACTGAACACATCACAGAAAGGCAGGAGACAAAAGCAGTGCGTTAATCATTGCTAAAATTTAACTTTTAATGTATGGTCTGGGGACAATAGCGGGGACAATAAAAAGGGTACCACAGGGCCACGCTTCTTCCTCTTTCTCTCACTGCATTACTCAATGTTTGTCCAGCACTCATGTTCATTGACCTGAGACCACTGAGCGAACTTTTCTTGAGCTGTGCTGTGAACAAAATATGAACCATAAGGAGGTTTGTCCATGGAACTTCTGTTCTGTCAGTAAATAAGACAGATCTCAATTACTTTTGTTTAGATACGGACAGTTTCAGGCTGCTGGGCATTTTGAAAAAAAAAGCAGATAGAGTAAAAAAAAAAGTTTGCTTAAAAATGCTGTGAATTATGAGACTGCTGGATGATTTATTTATCTGAATAACAATGATATCTACATTTTTACCATGTATTTTTTTAAAGAAATACTATGCTATTGTTCATCTTATAGCCACTGCTGTTGCTGATGTGCTGTGCCTGAGTGATCTACAGCTGTCAACAAGGTTCTCACTGCCACAGCTACCTGATTTAAGGTACTGACATCTCATTTGACCTTGGATTAATCATCTCTGATTTTGACAGATCAAGACAGCTGTTTATACACTAATAATCCTTTGAAGCTGCATTGCTGCTCTTCTGCCAATAGGTGGCCAGGGGGAGCACACAGCCTGATAGGCTTGTCTCTGAACCACAATTAAGTTAAATGAGCCACAATTAGGTTATAGACATGCACAACATTGTCTCTGGGAAAAAAACGTTAACATATTTTATCTGGCTTACTTTACTGGTATTTGAAATGGGACCATGGGTGTGAATGTCTGTAGGATTCAGGGACAAAAGGCTTTGCTAGAGAAATGCAATGTTTTTTGACATCATAACTCAAAAAACATTATTTAATACTGTTGGAGTGATGTCTCAGCCCTGATGATCCAGGAAATATGCAAGAGGCAAGGATTTTTGTGGGTGATATCCTTTATTGGAACAACTGCAAGGTTGGGATAGACTTAGACTACCTTTTGAATGTAAATAATGCATTGCATTTGAAAGCTTATCTAAGTCTATCCCAAACATTCAGTTGGTCCAATAAAAGACATCATTTAATGAGAATTAAGATTGTAGAAGGACATACCATTATCACCCAAAGTTGTAGAAAAAAGAAGTTAAGGTAAAAGTCCATGTTTGTCACTACTTTTACCCTACTCCTTATACCATCAGTAACATATAATAGTAAGGCATTTGCTTCCATCTCCAACAGATACAGAACATCAATATTCCATCCAACTGAAACCTCATACATACTTTCTTTTGCCCATAAAATGGCATATCTGCTTGTTACACACCCCACATTAATTTTTCTTAATAATGCAGAAGTTACTGTTACATTTGTCCTGTAAACAGAGTATAACTATACAAGCACTGTTATTAACAGATTCAAGATTCACACATGCAGAGTCAACACATTCACATATCTTACATCTTGTCTCTCCCTTCTGAAATGATAGTGGCTTAATGCACAGGCTGCTGTCCTCTCAGGTGACTTGCATTTCCTTTCTGGGTAACATCCGTCACCTTCCTGAGCACTTCCCTGAGAATGGTCTGCACAGACTAATACAGGGGTGCTATCTGCAGCCTGTGGGCCAAATGCAACCTGCAGAGCCATAGGTATCCAGCCTGCAGGGCTCACATGGATTGGGAAATGTGGTGAAAAGGGAGCAGGGGCAATAAATACAGCCACCCTCTCCAGCTGCCAAATTCCAAACCCCAAGCACCGTGTAGCAGGTTGGGGCCACAAGTCATGCCCCCTCCCCCAACCCCTGGCAACTGAATGAGGTTGGGCGATGCCCCTTCTCCTGGGCTGGATGGGGCTGGGCCACATTCCCTTTGTCCCTTGGGGCCAGCTCAAGCTCCTTTCCCTCCTCTGCTGAGCTGGCTCAAGCCCTTGTCCCCCGTGGAGCTGAGTTGGGGCTGGACCATGCCTCTTTCCCCGCACAGGACTGGGCCACACCCCTCCTCTTCCTAATTAGGTAACTCCACAGTAAATGTCTTGTGTAGATGTACCCCCAGATTCTCCTTTCTTACGATGGAGAAGTGAGACTATGGATTGGTGATCTGTGACCAATGTAAACTTTGTCCCATATAAGTATTGGTTAAATTCCTTCACTCCCCACACCAGAATTAAAGTTGCTTTGTTTAACTAACCATAATTCTGTTCTGCTGCTGAAAATGATCATGATGTAATAGCTGTGGGCTATTCAGTACCATTGGCCATAGTATGTGATCTAACAGCCCCAATGCCACGTGAGGATGCAGCACATGCTAGCTTAATAGGCTATGATGGGTTAAAGTGAAACAGCATCCTATGAGCTGCTTCTAGGAAAGCTTTCTGATGTTCATGAGACCAAACCCACGTGTGGTTTATTTTCAGCAAACTATTTAAAGGATATACATTTCTCAGATGTTTTTCTTCATTTTCATCAGTTCCAATATCGTCCAAGTAACACCATGTTCTTAGAACGCCTTGTAACACTTGATCCATTGCATACTGCATATAGCAGGGGCAGAGGCAATACCAAACACTAATCTATTATACTGGTATAACTGTTTTTGTGTATTTATGGTGAGATAACCTTCTTCTTTTACTTACATCTATAAGTGAGCTTCTGCTAAATCAGTTTTACTAAATCTCTGCCCCCTCCTAATGTGGAAAAAATATTGTCACTTTGAGGTAGCAGATATTTCTCAACTTTCAGTAAAGGATTTATAAAACCTTGAGGTCTCTTATTGCACCTTTTTTATTTTAAATTGGATCTATAGGCATGCCCACTCACTCCAGGCTACTTTTGAAAGAATGCCTTCTCTTTCTAGGCAGTTCAGTTTCCCATCTAACTTGGCATGACTGGCCAAGCGTTGTGAAACTTGGCCTGGGCATTTTCATGTATCATTATCTTAGCTTTGATGTGTTTTAAAGTTCCTGTGCCTTCCTTGAATACTTCAGAGGCTTGGTTCAACCCCTTATAATTGTTATTTAACTGTTTCTGCAGAGACCTTTGAAAGTACCTGAAGCACCTTTACACAAATCCAGTCCAGGGGAATTTCTTTTAACCATTCATGACTTCACAGGGTGGGTCCCCCTTTTTCAGTGATTTATAAGTCTAAGAGGTGTGGTTTATGATTAAATTCTGTGGGCCCTGACATCACCCCCATTGGCAAAATCTTTTATCCTGTGTGTTTTTCACAACAAAAGGGTCTCCTTTAATTTAATAATTTTAAGGTTTTTTATATATTCAGTCTGTGAGATAACATACTGCAGAGCCTGTATCCAGCTCCATTTTAAGGGGTTTCCTAGCAAACTAGAGCGTCAGCCAGATGGCTCATTTATCACCTTTGTTCACATGATGTAAGCCCAGACTAGCTACTTCATTCTCACTGTCTATTACATATACCTTTTTATTCCCCTTTCTGTACCACACACTCTTCTTTATTTCTTACCATAGCACATACCCAGTCCTGGGTATGACATTAAACTGCATCCAGCAGTGGGACAGTTTTAACTGTTAGGGTAATAGTGAGAGAAGTACTCTCTAATCACTGCAGTCTCTGGGACACCCTTAGGCAACCATTGCATCAGCCTCCCTTACCAGGGTTACGGTTGAAGCCATTGGGGGTGCAGGACGGTGGATCATCTCATTTGGTGGATGTCTGGTGCAACTAGGAAAACAATAGAGGACACTTGCTTAAGTTAGCTGAGCTCGGCAACCTGCAGCAAGAAGTGGCAACCTACTGCAGTATTTTGCCATGCATAATCCATGGTCTTTCAAAAATTAAGAAATCACACTGTCACGGTGGGGTCCTTCAGGAGGGCCGTGATCTCCTTAGGGGCCCTCTCTCCATGTCAAGTCCAGCCCAAGGGCACCCTCTATTCTCGCCCGCTACGTCTTTGCTGTTTAGTATATGTTGGGAGGCTGCCTTATGACTCCCTGGGCACGGTTAGCTGGGACCTCTGTCCCTGTGTGTTCCCGGACCCCCTGGGGGTGTCCCAGTATGATGGGTGCCACCCTAGCCTTATGGGCTACGCGTGGCTCCTACCAACCCCTAATACCACGCCCCAAGCCTCGCTGATGGGATAGACGCTGGTATGTCTCTCTCTCTCTCTCTATATATATATATATATATACTGTGTAATGTTGCCCCTTTCTGGGGCCTTCTCTATAGTGTTGCCCCCTGTCTGGGGCCTTTACAATAGTGCCCCCTCCTGGGGCTTTTCCTACAATGTTGCCCGAACTCGGGCTTCTAAAATACAGCCCCCCCGTCTGGGGCTCTCTGCACCCACTCTGGGGACTTCTCGGCAACGCCGCCTGATTCTCGGGCCCACCGCACTGCTACCCCCTTCTCCCAGGGCCACCGCGCCACTACCCCCTCTCACCGGGGCAACCGCAGCACTCTACCCTGCTCCGGGGTTTGTCACAGCGCTAGCCCTTCTTCAGAGGCTCACTGCGCCCGCACTGGGCTTCCTAATAATATTGCCCCCTCTCTGGGGCTTGCTGTGCCCGTCCTGGGCTTCGTAATAACACTGCCCCCTCTTTGGGGCTCGTCGTGCCTGCGCTGGGGCTTCTCAAAGCCACCCCTCTCTGGGGCTGGGGTCTACGCACCCCGCAAGTTGCGCCCTCACTGGTGCCGGGGTTCCCATACCACTGGGGTTCCCCCTCAGAATACTGCGCCCTCACTGGTGCCAGGGTCCCACCCCCTGTGGGTCCCTATGAGTACACTGTGCCGTCCTCAGGCGCTGGGGGCCCCCACCCCTCTGGGGGTCCCTATGAGGCCTCCTCCAACCCCTATAGCCTCACCCAAACCACCGGTGTAATACAAACACTAAAGCAAACACCAGCCTCCTGGCTAAAACCAAAACACAAGGCACTAGACCATAACCACATAAGCCTCCTGGCTGTAATTTAACATCATTGCTCCAGCCTCTGGAGCTCTTGCGAGCTATACTTGCGATCCGGGTTCTCCCTATATCCTGGCTGAGGGAGCTCCTGCCTCTCCGGCTGCTAGCAGGCAACTGCCAGCCTGGCCTCAGCCCTGGGCTTTATAAGGGCCAGGCCCTGCCTCCTACAGGCAGCTGGCTCTCCTTAGTTGCCCCGGCAACCTGCAGCTCTGCTCGTTACCCTGGCAACCCTCAGCTGGGCTCGTTATATCCTTCCAGGGCTCTCTCTCTCTCTCCCTGGCAGTTTCCACTCCCTAGGAGCAGAGCACTGAGGTGCCCTGCGACACACACAATAGTGTGAAAGGGGTCCCTGACAGAAAAGGTGAGGACACCTCACCCAGTAAGGATAGTTGTGTGTGACAGGTGACTCCTGACCGTCACACTCCTACTGTCCACACTCAGAAGAGAGCAGTCAAAGTAGCAATGTGGAATGTGAGTACTCTACATCACATTGAGAAACTGGATAATGTCAAGCATGAAATGAGCAGATTAAAGATAAATATTCTAGGTCTGTGTGAAATACATTGGTAAGAGGCTGGAATTATTGTTTCAGAAGTAAAGATCATTTATTCAGGAGGTCAGATTCACAAAAAAGGAGCTGGGTTGATTTTGGATGAAGAAGCCTCAAAAAGTTTTCATGTTTTTTGGGCAATATCTGATAGAGTGATGCTTGTGAAAATAAAAGCTAAACTTTTCAACATTGCAATAATACAAGTTTATGCACCGACAGCTGAGAGTGGGACATTGAGAGGGAAGAGGACATTGATCATTTCTATGAAGACCTTGCTAAAATGAAAAAGCAATGTGTGACCATCGGGCCTCGAATGCCCAGTCACGTACAGCCTTGGTTCGAGTAATTGGTGGTGTACGCCTTACTGACTCCAGCACCGCCAAGTAGATGTTTACTCCTTGAGTGGTCTTCCCTGATCTCTCCTGCCACGACTTTGAATGTTTCTCAGTGGTGGGGTGACTACTTAGGGTCCTTCTGCGGCACAAAGTCTGCCCAACGGACACTTGCGGGGCTCCACCACCCCTACACCCCAACCTTACGTCACCTTGATGGATCACTGAGTTTTCCTGGCCACACCCCCACTCTTGCACAGTTGTGGTGGCCTTCCAAGTCCCTCCTCATCTTTGGTACCGGTTCTCAAAGCCGCTTCGCTCAACCCACCCCAGATTGTTTGCAGTAGGTGTTTTCAATTGTGAGACCTGTGCCTTCTAGCGTAAAATACTTCACTAGGGTCCTAAACCAAATGTGTTGCCCCATGGGCCCTGTACCATATACCTTAACCATATCATCTTCCCTGACCCTCAACCCCTTCAAATGGGGAAACGCAAAAGAGAAACACAAAATAATACTCTGTTCTATTGTGGGGAATCTGCATGGTCCCTTTCCTGGTCCCTTACGTCAGGGTGCCGGGTGCCTCGTTCCCTAAGGCCTTTCTATGAGAGGACCCCTATGTGGGGCCAAGTGCCTATGTCCTACTACTTGGGTTGTCTTTCCCACTTTATCCACCTGTTCCTGGAGAATGGTCTTTCCCCACTTCTCTCCCTCCTGTGACGTAACTATTTGGGTGCCTCGTGGCCCCTTTGTGTACGCCTGGTTGCTCTCTGTAATCAGGATAGGTATCCTGCCTCTTCACAGCCCTTCCTGCTGCTCCTGCCGGGACTCTCCTAAAGGGGGGGTGTTCCTCCACCTCCCCACTGGTCCTGATATTCCCACCTGTTGAGGTGTGGGTTGCCTCATCCACCTTTCTGTTCCCTCTGCCTTTGCTGCCTTTGTTGGCTGCAGGGGTTGCTTCTGGCTCATCTATCTCTCTGTTGAGTCATTCCTCACTGCTGCTGCCAGGGTCAGTACCCGGAGCCTCCTCTGACTCTTTGGGCTGCTGCCCTTCCTCCCCAAGATCCTCCCGATGGACACCCTGTGGTTGTGTCCTACTCAGGTCTGCTCCTCCTCCTCCTCTGTTTCCACTGGCAGCTGGTTTTATCCCTGCTGGCCGGTGATTTCCAGTGACTTCATTGGCTGGCTTCAGCTGGATAAAGACACAGTTGATGAGCCACGCAGGTTTCTTTCTCCATTCCAGCTGCTCCACGGCTCCTGCTGTAGGTAAGTAGTTTCTTTTCTTTATCTTTGTGTTTATTTCCTCTCTTTTCTGGGTATTCTGTTCCCAGGGACCTTCCCTTTTGGTTCGGGGTCCTTCCTCCCACTCTCTCCCAGGACACAATGCAAACCGCAAGAAGTGGTCATAATGATTGGAGATCTAAAAAAGCTGGTTGTGAGTGAGTGGATAATATTGTTGGTCCTTGTGGACTTGGTGAAAAAGATGAAAGAGGAAAGGGATGGTGTGGCAGGACACTGTTGGTGCCTGCCACTTTAAGGGCCGAACCAAGTGGCCAGCAGGTGCTTGATTGCGGCAGCCATTTTAGATCCATGGCAGCCTATATAAACAGGGCAGTTTGCTGCTGGCAGGGAAGGCAGTAACATTGCCTGGCTGCAAGGTGGCTTGGAACATCCTGGAGGTAAGGGCAGGAGCTGTAGGGGATGTTTGGAGGCTCCTGGTCCTGGGCATGACCTAAAACTACATCCTGCTGGGAGTCAGTGGCCTGGTAGGGCTCTCAGTGGTGCAGCAGCCCCCAGGAAATGCCAGGCCAGTGATCACCCTGGTGAAAGGCTAGGAGGGGCACCTTAACCCCAGCTTTCACCTTCAGGTGGGCCATATTACATCATATCAGGGTAGGCCAGGTAAGCTTCTGGAGGCACCTGAGCCTGCTGGGGGAGTAACCCCACAGGCCAGGCATGCTTCCAGGAGCTCCTGAGCTGGCAATGGGGGACCCCAATCCCTAAGGCAGGTAGGAGGCGAAAACCCCACTGAGGTACTCGACTGATCAATGCTGGGGCCAGGACCAAAAGGTCAAAAGGGCCAGGGGCCCACCGCAAGGGACGCCTACAAAGAGCGAAGAAGCTCGGGGTCCAGACTGGGCCTGAGATGGGGCCAGGGCTTATGGAAGCCAAAGGCCCCCAGGGTTGGGTGCCACAGCTAAGGGTCAAAGGCGATGGTTGAGTTAACTGCCTGAGATGCCATCTGCGAGGCTTGGGCCATGGTGTAGGGGTGGAATGGCGCTCTGGATAGTTTCCCCCCCCCCCCCCCCAGTATTGGGATGTGTAATGGGCAGCCTCCCACCTTAATTAACAACCTAATTAATTACCAACAAGGTGTAGTGGGCGAGACAAGTGGGCAGTGTGCCCAAAGGCAGGTGGGAAACTAGTCCTGTGACTAGCCAGGGACCCCCACTTTACCACAGATGGATTGACTGATGTGTTGCAAATGATCAAGTCATTATGAATACATAGTTTGAACACCACCCGAGAAGAAGGTATACATGGAAAAGTCCTGGAGATAACATTAGAAACCAAATTGATACATCACCATCAACAGAAGATTCAGGAATGCAGTTCAACAATTGAAAACTTACCCAGAGTCATGACTGTGGAAGTGATCATGTACCTGTAGTATGCACCATCCAAATAAGGTTGAGGAGACCTTAGGAAACCAAAAGCAACTGATTACTCAATTGTAACGGAAAAAGATCTGATTAAAGAAAGGTACATAGTTGAAGTCAAAAACTGTTTTCAAGAACTTGAAGATGAAGGAAATATGTCAAACTGGGAAATTTTTAAAGAAGCACTAGTTGAAACAGCCAAGGAGATTATTCCATCAAAATTAAGGCAAGAAAAACAGAAATGGATGACTGAAGAAATCCTTGAACTTATGGAAGAAAGATTAAAACACATAGTATGGAAGAGAATAAGAAACTGGATAAAAGAATTTGATCAAGGTACAATGAAGAAAAGGAAAAACGGCTTAATGAAAAAAGTACAGAGATAGAAAAACAAAAGGATAAAGATGTCACATCAATGTACAGGAATATCAAAGGCATCACAGGCAAAGGAGGATGTACTGCTAGGTGTTGTATAAAAGCCAAGAATGGTGATGTAATTATGGAACAAGAACAAGTATTGGACAAAGTATATTGAAGAGTTATTCCACGAAAGTCAAGAGGAAAAGCCATCTATTAAGAAGAACATGGATGGTTTGAAAATTCTTAATTTAGAAGTACAAACAGTTATCAACTGAATGAAAACCAATAAAAATATATGACCAGTTGAGATTGCAATAGAACAAGTAAAATGTTTGGAAGAGTTTGGCCTACAAAAGTTTACAATTGTTATCAATGAGTTTTATGAAAGTGGAGAAATACCTGAGGACCTCAGTAAATTGAACTTTAAAAGACCTGGAGCCATTGAATGTGAACTCCATCGAACCATCAGTGTAACGAGCCATGTAACAAAGATCCTATTAAAGGTTCTGATGATGAGAGCTAGAAGTAGAATAAGACCGGAGATTGCAAAAATTCAATGTAGTTTTGTTGTAGATCGGGGTACAAGAAATGTTATGTTCTTGCTACGAATGTTTTCAGAGAGAGCAATAGAAATGTGGAAAGACCTATTCTTGTGTTTTATTTATTATACCAAAGCTTTTAATAGAGTCAAGCATGAAGAGTTAATGAAAATGCTGGAAGAATTGGATATTGATGGTAAAGACTTGAGAATTTTTGAGAAATCTCTATTGGGACCAAACTGCAGCAGGGAAGATAGAAAATGAACTAAGTGATTTCATCCAAATTAAGAGGGGCAAGAGATAAGGCTATGTTTTTTTCACTTGACTTGTTCAACTTGTACAGTGCGAAAATACTGAAGGAGATTGAGGATTTATCAGGGCTGATTGTTGGTGGACAGAATTTGAACAACTTGTGTTATATTGATGACAGTCTTAATAGTTGATTCAGAAGAGAAGCTGCAAGGAATTTTAGATAAAATTGTTAGTAAAAGCGAGAAGGGTCTAAATATTAACCATGGAAAAACAGAATGCATAGTGATTACAAAGAAGGTGCAACATCGAAGTGGCAAAGGAACAGATAAGGCAGGTCAATAAATTTAACTACTTGGGAAGCTGGATATCATCAGATGGTAAATGTGATCATGAAATAAAATGGAGAATAGGGATGGGAAAAGACACATTTCTGAAAATGGAAAAAGATATTGACAAATAGTAAAAGTTCTATGGGGACGCAGTTAAGAGTTTTGGATTGCTATGTTATATCAGTCCTCATGCATGCATCAGAATGCTGGACAATATTGCCAAGTATGGAAAGGAGAATTGAAGCAACTGAGATGTGGTTCTTAAGGCACATCTTGAAGTGATGTTGGATAACTCACACTTCAAATGAAGATATTTTGTTAAGACAAGACTGCAGGAGGAAGCTGCTGATTAACATTAGAAAGAGACTGTTGGAGTTTCTTGGATACATTATGAGGAAAGAGAAAATTGGAAGTCTGGTTGTAACTGGAAAGACTGAAGGAGAAATTGTGAAAGACAGTTTGAATTATGTCAAGAGTCTATCTAAATGGATGAATGTATCAACACTGGAAATTCTGCATGCCTCAAAGAGAAGAGATCTGTGGAAGACCATGGTCACCAAAGCCCAGATATGTTCTTTTTACTATAACTTTGGCAGTAAAGTTCTTTAAACCATCAGTTATTTGGGGTATGAGAGCCTTTTCCACACTGATAGCACATTGGGTTGCTGCTTGCCTTGGCTCTTCCATTGCATGTTTAGTAACACATTCATTCCTATTTCCATAGGCACTCCACCAAGCAATTCTGTGGCATTCTTTACTGCAGTTTCCATACCTATTCCAATCCTAACAGCTTGTTTAAAGGTGAAGTTTTCATCTGTTTAGAGTTTTCTTTGCATGGCTTCATTAAGAAGCCCACAAACAAAATTGTCTCTGAGGGCCCCATTAAGTCCATCCTTACAATTGCAGTATTCTGACAACTTCTGTAACTGTTACACAAGAGGAAATAAATTCACCTTCTAGTTGATTTATCTTATGGAACTTGAACCTTTCTCCAAAAACCGATGGTCAGATACTCGTGGATAATTTTCACTCATTTCTTAAAGGTTATGCTTACTGTCTTTCTGGGGTGAGCAGGCTGTGCAGTAAACTGTTTTTCCTCCCATTAAACTCAGTAATGAAGCTACATGTTTCCATAGGTTAATCTCATTTACTTCAAAAAACTGTTCCAGCTGCTCTAGATACATAGGCTAGTCCTCCAGGGTGCTATCGTAAGCCTCAATTGTTCCAATATAAGCAGTCACAACAGATTTCAAGTATTTGCAATTAAAGCAAATTCTTCAGGTTGATTAAATGTATGCCCCACTCGTGGGATCCCAGCTGTGTTTCCAGTTGTTACATTTGTCCAAGGCCTTCCTAGATAAATGCCTCCAGCCACAAGTGTGAGAGAGTGCTGCCAGATTGGCAGGCAGGGAATATATTGTAAACATAAAGTAAAACTATACATGCATTGACACTAGAAGATTCAACAGAAAGTAGATTCACATGTGCTGATGCTACTTGTTCTCATATCTCACGGTTACCATTAAGGTTTTGTTATTAGATTATTTCACTAACACTTCAAAATCAGCCATCATAGATGCATTTTAAAATGGAAGCTACATCACCCTGATTCTTTCCATCTCTTAAACCAGCCTGTCCCCCATTTCTGGATCATGGATACAAACCCAAAAAGATGTGTAGGTAGAGGTAAGGTGCCTGGTATTTTTTGGTTAAGCTTCTCTCTTGTTGCTCCCATCAATTCACAGAAAAGGTATTGTCTTTTGCATTTTTCACGTCCCTCACTATTGTACCCTGCTCAGAGGCATCTCAGACTCTTTGGTTCGATAAGCTCTGAGAATTCAGCCTCTAGCATGAGTTCTACCCTGGGCTGGATAGACTGGGAGAGCTGGTCCTGTGTATCATCCTTGTTGTAGAGTAAATTTACTGCCGATTAAAATCCAGGGTAATGTATACTGTGGTCATTATGTTGTGTATCCGCATCTGAGCTCCACATACATACAGCATGATTTGTACAAGTAAATGACTTCTGGCCAATTTAGCCTATGTGCTATTGAAAGTAGGAAGTAGTCCATACAGGCTACATAAGAAGTGATTATTGTACTATGAGATGGGAATGGAAGGATGATTTATATTGTTTTGATATTTTACCTGTAAGCTTTGTTCTCAGTGATGAAGAATGAGTGGTGACCTGCACGGCTGAGAAACAAATTGTGTTTAGCTTCTTTTGCAGTGTAATGTAAATGAGAGTTGTAATGTCTGTGTTCTGTTTGAACCCCTGTGTGTGCAGACATAAGATGCATTAGGACATTGTATTTAATAGTGTAAATGGGGCCTTAACTATATCCCTAGAATGGGCTAAAGCCTTGGATTGTCACAGACAGCTTCACCTTAACTAGCAGTGCCTGCTGGAGTGGTTTCACCACTCCCTCACTCTTCCCCATCATTCCCTTCATGTCCCTGAATGTCCCAGTATGCTAGTATTACCTATACTGAAAATACAGAGACAAGCTATATCTTCCTGAATATTACCCAGAATTACAGTCTACACACTAAGAACGTACACCCTGCATGCTTTCTCTTTCCCCAGGGTGTAACTGCTAACTCTGCTACAGCCCCACGGTAACCACAAGAGCATACCTGATAGACATTCCAGCGACAGAAATCTGTGAATTTGTCACTTGGAATTATATTCACACTTTTGAAAACATTACTCTCAGGACATAGCCCCCAGATCTGACACTTGTAAGGAAAATGGCCTCAGAGCTTACAAGTTTTAAGTATTCTTTCTACCTGTATTCCATGAGGGTATGCCTCCAAGTGCATAGGGTGTTGCCTTTAGTTAGCAAACACTAACTTAGTCTGCATGAAGTTTTTATGGATCTTGCAAATTATTTGCAACCAAGAATGTGAACTGGCCATTAATCACATCTAATTTGCAGACTCATTACTATTAGCACTTCTAATTAAGAACTATGTAAAATAACTTGGGCCTTTTGCCTATTGTCTTTTCTCTCTACTGATACTGTATCAGTAATGATTTCTTATTCAATTAAAGTTTCACTTTTTATGGTTTTAATAACTCCTTAGCATATACAAATCTAAGTGTCATACTAATGGCTAATTAACCTATGTTTTGTTCCATTAGTACACTATAAACAAGAAATTCAACAGTTTATTATTCTTTTTTTAATTAGAAGGGCAACATTAAAATTAGGAAAGCAGCATTGATATACAAAGCGTGGCTTGCAAATAAGGATGATAATATCAATTATAATGAAAAAATTATTCTGACAAAGGTTTGTTTATTATTCTTTTTTTAATTAGAAGGGCAACATTAAAATTAGGAAAGCAGCATTGATATACAAAGCGTGGCTTGCAAATAAGGATGATAATATCAATTATAATGAAAAAATTATTCTGACTATATTTGATTGTGCACAACCTTTGTCATTTAGCTTAAATATGTTAGTGGCTTGATTCATCTGTTTATGTGTTTAATGTAATGAGAATGCTTCTATATCTAAAAAGTACATTATGTACCTCTGAAAGCTGTTGATCCACACCAATAATCCCATGAACAAATAGACCAATCTGTTCCTTCACTGAGGCTGAAATCCAAGAGAGGGGGAGTTCAGCTGGGTCTAAAGCAGATAGTTCTTCCTAGAAAGGAAATGGCTGGAGGACATTGCAATGCCAGAGCCACTTGCACTGCCTCTACTTGCACCTCTGAGGCTTCTGTCCAGGCAAGACCACTCACCTCAATGCCTCAACCCAGGTCTGGGTTTGGCACTATGAGGACTGTGGCTTACAGGTTCCTTCCAGTGACAGCCAGGTCAGGGAGTGCCTGCGGTGTGAGCTGTGTCCCCTGGTGGTCTCTCTCAAGTGACAGGCAAGAGAACTACAGGAGGGGGAGGTGAGGCTCCGAAGTATCCTCTGCCATGAGGTGTTCATTGATTTGATGCTGGAGGAGACCTCTGGGACTGTGAAGGAAGAAATGCCAGATGCAGTACTAGAGAAAAGAGAGGACATGGACACCCAAGAGGGTGGAAGATGGAGGCTTGTGACTTCTGGCAGCAAGCAGAGAGCTTCACCTCCACCTGCAGTTGTTCATCTGGAGAACAGATATGCAGCCCTAGCAGCAAAGAGGGAGGAGCATGTTCCATTGGTGGAGGAAGACAGGCCTGGCCTCACCAAGGTGGGAAAGATCGAGATGACCACCACCAAGAAGAAGCAATGGGTGGTGGTAGTTGGACACTCCCTTCTGTGGGGGATGGAGGGAGTCATCTGCCTACCTGATCTGTTGTCTCAGGAGGTCTGCTGCTTGCCAAGAGCCTGGATCTGAGAAGTGATGGAGGGACTACCAAGGCTCATCCAGCCCTCTGACTACAACCCCATGCTGCTCATTCATGTGGGTACCAATGATACTGCCACAGGAGATCCTGAGCATATCAAAAGTGACTACAGGGCTCTGGGTGCAAAGATGAGGGGGTTTGGGGCTCAGGTTGTTCTCATTGATCCTTCTGGTCATGGGAAAGGGCCTGGGCAGGAGCAGGTGCATCCAGCAGATCAGTACCTGGCTGTGCAGGTGATGTCGCCAGTAGGGATTTGGCTTCATAGTTTCATAGTTTCTAGGGTCGGAAGGGACCTGGGCAGATCATTTAGTCCGACCCCCTGCCATGGCAGGAAAGAGTACTGGGGGTCAAACGACCCCAGCAAGATGGTCATCTAACCTCCTCTTAAAAACCCCCAGGGTGGGAGCCTGCACCACCTCACTTGGAAGCTAGTTCCAGACCCTAGCTGCCCTGACTGTGAAGTAGCGCCTCCTGATGTCCTGATGGCTTCTTCGACCATGGGATGTTCTTCCAAGAAGAAGGATTGCTGGGAAGAGATGGGATCCACCTGATGAAGAGAGGGAAGAGCATCTTCACAGACAGGCTCGCTAACCTAGTGACAAGGGCTTTAAACTAGGTTTGCCAAGGGATGGAGACCAAACCCCTAAGGTAAGTGGGGAAGTGGGAGACCTGGAGGAAGAGCAAGCAGGAGGGGGCAACAGGGGAGGTGTTTTCATACTTCCTGAGAAATCAAAGCAATCAACTAGTTACCTCAGGTGTCTGTACTTGAATGCATGAAGCCTGGGTAACAAGCAGGAAGAAATGGAAGTCCTTGTACAGTCACGGAACTATGATGTCATTGGAATAACAGAGACTTGGTGGGAGCTCGCATGACTCGAACGCTGACATGGATGGATATAAACTGTTTAGGAAGGACAGGCAGAGGAGAAGAGGAGAAGGAGTTGCATTGTATGTAAAAGACCTGTATGATTGCTCAGAGATCCAGTATGAAACTGGAGATAGGCCTATTGAAAGTCTCTGGGTTAGGGTCAGAGTGAAGAGCAACAAGGGTGTTGTCAAGGTGGCTGTCTGCTATAGACCATCAGACCAGGAGGATGAGGTGGATGAGGCTTTCTTCAAACAGCTAGCAGAAGTTTTCTGATCACAGGCCCTGGTTCTCATGGGGGATTTCAATCATCCTGACATCTGCTGGGAAGGCAATACAGCAGGACACAGGCAATCCAGAAAGTTTTTGGAGAGTTGGGGACAACCTCCTGGTGCAAGTGCTGCAGCGGCCAACTAGGGGCCGTGCTCTTCTTGACCTGTTGCTCACAAACAGGGAAGAATTGGTGGAGAATGTAGTGGTGGATGGCATCTTGGGCAGCAGTGACTATGAGATGTTTGAGATCAGGATCCTGAGGAAAGGAAAGATGAAGAGCAGTAGAGTAAGGACCCTGCACTTAGACTCACTTGGGGAACTCATAGACAGGATCCCCTGGGAAGCCAGACTGAAGGGGAGAGGAGTCCGGGAGAACTGGCTGTACTTCAAAGAAGCCTTACTGAGAGTGCAGGAACAAACCACCCTGATGCACAGGAAGACTAGAAAGTATGGCAGAAGACCAGCTTGGGTCAGTAGGAAACTTGGACAAATAACTGGGGAAGAATATAAGAGCATTGCTCATGTATGCAGGGATGACGTCAGGAAGGCCGAAGTGCAATTGGAGCTGCAGCTAGCAAGGGATGTAAAGGATAACAAAAAGGGTTTATACAAGTATGTCGGTAGCAAGAGGAGG